AGGGCAGCTCAGCTGGCCTCACTCCCCACTTGACTCTGGTTTGACCTCTGGCATGTGAGCCGTCCGCCCCGAAGGCGGCTCTGCCTATAGCCCGACGCTATCTCCTCTCCCCACACACCCAGCGATGGGTGCATCCTCAGGTCAGCCAGGTCAATGAAATTCAAATTGAGGATGAATGATTTGTAAATCATGTACAGATAAGGAGCTAATGCGCCAGAGGGAGGAAGCACTGCTGCTGTCACTTTTGTTAGTTAAGAACTTAAAAAATATAAATATTCATACTAAGTTCCCCATGGATGCTTCCTCAATATTTTCTTGTTGACTTTCATCTACTGACTCCCGGATAGCCTTACAGTCTCTCTCGTGTACATGGATCCATATTTACCGTCCCTCCACACACGCACACACACTCCAATATGTGCACAAGCGGCATCAGCGGTGAAGTATGAGTGAGCGTGAAAGGCTTGTAATAGCTCTCCTCCCCAAGGGGCTGATGACACCACGGCAACCAAACAGAGGCTGATGGTGTGACAGAGCAAGGGGCTCATCGCTCCCCTTTTGCCATTCTGCCCCTTTACAACTTTACAAAATAGCCTTTTAATTTGCTGCAGCGTCGGGTGTCTGAATTTTGCCTGCATCAATCACCATCATCGTCGGGGGCCGCAGGCACTCTGGTCCCTTGGGCCCTCTCACTGAACGGCCCCCTCAGGCAGATCACTCTCCGTCCCCCTCATATGGGGTAGGTCCCCAACCCTCCCACCTCTGTCGGTCTCCTCTTACTCACTCGTGCAAAACCACGCGGTACTGCTTGAACCCCACTGCACTCGGTGCTGCTAGCATTTTACCAGCTCTGGTGTGCATGAAATGACCATCTCTCGCCGCCTCAGCACACCTTTGACAAAAGGAGAATCATTCTTAACGGTGTATTGTATTCTAACACAAAATAACCATGATCAGCAGGATTCATTTCTTGATGGATTTTCCACAACAGCTGTTTGATACTACACAAGAGAGTTTTTAACATTGACTTAATGTGGACTGCCTTTCCCTCTTGGAGTAGAGAAAATGACTCCCACTCCCTCTGTGCCACTATTGATACTGCTGTAATGATGCCAGTGAAAACCATCAGTAACATGAATGTATAGGTGTTAGATTGATGGAGATGGAGATGCATGTGTGAATGAGACAAATCCCTGAATATGTTTTGACAAGTCAGTGTAGAGGTGCAATATAGATTACCCCTCACTCTGTGGCTGTCAGCCCAGCATTGATGGCTCTTCCTGCTTTAATGATGTGTGTTTTCACGTAGAGGAGCTGCCTTTCTGGCATTTTGTTACCTCTAAACGCAACCATCGTATTCACTATTTGTTGCTATTGTCAAAAGGATAGAAACAGTAATTGTACTTTGTATTTCTTTAACCCATACTGCATGACCGGTCCTCTGAATTCCCCTTGCATTTCTCCGTGCTATACCTGTATTATGCTAATACAGTCAAGCACAGAATGCTCAAAGACAGTATAGCTCTGTGTTGTATGCTGAACACTGCAAATGCCACGCCATGCTGTTCCACTTCTCGGCTCTAAAAAACAGTGAAGGCAGGAGGTCAGCTGACTCAGAGCAGGGAGGGTGCAGATGGTATGTTCCTTGGCCGTGAAATGGATATTAAACTGTGCTTAGTGCCAGTTAGAGACACTGGTACCACACATTTTCAGTCACCAGTTTATGAGCTAAAAACTGATACCATAGTTCAAGACATCCTGCCTTCATACAGGTTATAACATTATAACTGTTTCAGAGAGGTGTTGGATCAACTTTCATTTATGAGGCGGTTTGTGTGCTGATGAATTGCATTACGTTATACTTCAAAGTTTGTAATATATTAATGAGGGTAAACTTAATATTAGAAAGACTCAGTATTACACAAGACAAGCAGGTTAAAAAAACAATGGAAATGTAATTATTTTTGCATTTCTGAGTTTCTCCTGATAACATTTTTCATTCATGAGCCTCTACTAAACAGCTGAGATGCCTTTTTACAGTAAAGGTACATTTTTATTTCAAAGACATTTTCCATACCCTAATGATAAAACATTTTACAAGAAACTCTTTTTAAGATGAATAATTATTCTAAAAAAACACATAATATACCGTGCAATCTTTGTAGAACTAGCTCAGAATACATTTTATTCTGTTCAGTGAGTCCTCTGAAATGAAATAAAATCTTTAAAATAGGAAGTTGAGTGCTCCCTTGATTTTTTTTTTTTCATCCTACAGTGACATACTTCCACCAAGCGCTAAAAATGCTCCATCGGGCTGAGCTAAATATAACAAATTTAGCTCACACAATGCCGTACCAAACAGTACAGAAGACCATTAAAGGTTGTAAAGCCAATTGCCTGTTTCATTTCAAACTGATAAGATTCTAGAAGGAGCGAGTGAATGAGGCTGACGACGAGTCTGAGTCTTCTTGATCAAACTTTTGCCAAGTGTAATCCTCATCCTATTAGGCAGTCATCGTGTTATCGCTTTCCTTAGGTGAGATTCTGATGGAACAATTGAGACTTCTGCTAAGCTGCATTCAGCACATACAGGGAGTGGAAGGGTAAAGGCCATCCTGTTTCACAGTGGGGAGCTCTCTGTCGGATGGATTTGCCATGCCATATTGTGTTGCCAGGTATTTCCCTCCTGTCTATAACTTCCCCATTCCACCACTACCTAATCAGCTTTAATTGACTTTAATTAGCATCTAGTAATTAATTTTGTTTTCTACAAATTATTTGTATGAACAGTCCCAGTGGGTGGCCTGTTCATCTTGTTAGGGCCAATTAGCTGCAATTAACAAACACTAATGACATGTTTTTTTCATTCCAAAACAAACAGCGTGCACCCTGCCAGAATTCAGTGCTGCACAGACACCTCTTGTGTGTTGGAGTGATGCAGGGGGCCAGCTCACTGGGCTAGGCTTCTAATCAACACCTTTAATGGAGAAACACAAACCCAGAAGGAGACACTTATCCACACGACTCACACTTAGGATACCACAGAGATAATTACTTTCCCCTCTGGTCTTTCCATTGTCACCCACTGTTACTTTTAGACTAGTGAGATCAGGTTTGTGGAACAGAACAGATGTAGGAGAAGTCTTAAGCCTTTAGAATGAGTAATCTGCAGGTTAATGCTATTAGCATCATATAGAACATGTGAGGAACCAAGAGGATATTCTATGCTCACATCTGAAAACAACACATTGCAACATGAGGCGTTCTGCTTTTGAAATCTTCCTGGCAGGGATGTGTGCACCAACATTGTTTGCATGAAGTCATGCATTCAACATAGTTTAATTCCTTAATGAGTAAAAGCATATTTGGCAAATGTGTTTGACAGTAGAAAATGTTCAGTTTAACATTGAGTAATTCACCAAAAGAGACAGTCACACATTATATTTTTCAGAGATTATTCTCTTCATGCGATCATGTCATTTGTGTATTATTAGTATTCAAGAGTGCATTGAGGTGTTGTATACATGCTTTAAAAAGCATGCCCACTGCTGGCATAAACTACTTGTGGTGCATTTAGGTTATATGAGCACGCAGTTTATTCTGCGTTTACTTTACACAGACATTTGTATCCAATAAAAAGATCTGTAAGTCTGTATGAATTTAGGTGTGTATGCAGTATAGGTTCAGTTTTGTGACTTACTCAAAATACACTGCTAGCTTATTAAAATGAAAGCCTGGTGTTGCCGAATAATTTAAGAATATCAGAATATTATAAATGTTTCATGTTCATATTCGAATAGGACATTTAGGCAAATGTTTGGATAAATCATGGGGGTTCAATGAATGAAAAAAACCCTTATCCTTTATCCATATTTTTGTTTGATTGATTTTGAATAATTGCGTCAGCTAGCCCTGCAGTTTAAAAATTTGAAAGAAATTTGAAAACAAATTGAAATCGACAGAAACTGGAGGCATGTGCACACATGCAACCATTGGCACTCTACTCACTCTATATCGTTCTATCAGCGGTAAAAAAAAAAAAAAACAATAATTACGTTTTTCATTTAGCTTGTGATGTGGTCCTCCAAAAACAAAAATCTGGGTGTGAAAAAGCTGACTCACTCACTCGCGTTTAACGTTATCTGTCGGGAGCTGAGATATCACAAGATATCAGGGACTACCAGAGCTGGGAGCTTGTAAGGGGAGACGCGCTATCTCCTTCACCAGTGCACCAACATGGTGCGATAACATCTAGCAGACAGCCTATGGCGCAGATATTCTGACCATTAGTGATCCGTGTCCTTTAAGTATAATGTTGGGTCGCAACATTCATCCATGTGAAAAGCTTGTGTTGGGCATGTTCATCTGTCCTCTCCCCATACTGAAGGGTTAGGGCCTGCTGATCATTTGTCATCTGCCATTGATGCAGTCTTATTCTCCCACACAATCCAGGGAATAATGTATTCTTATGATATTATCATCGACTCTCAGCAGGCTATCATTGAGAGAGAAAATGGTTATTATTGTAATGAGAGCGTTGTTGGAGGGTGGAGATATTTTTTATTTCTTTTTTATTCTTATTAATTATTTCCCGTTACAGCTCCTTGGGCAGCCAGTGTCACCATCATTATACATCTTGGGAAAAAAACTTCCTTTGGACCCTTTTAATTGTCAATGATAAAGCATTAATGTCGTTATTTAAAGTTCTGGTTTTACCTGTAAAACCCGTGTCTCTTCTCATACGTAGAAAAATAATTTGTTTTATAATTCATTAAAAGTGATTATTATTATTTTATTTTATTTTATTTTCATAATCATAGTTTTGTACTTTCTTTACATAATACTGAAGTGCATGTGGAGTGAATTGAAAAGGCTGCTCATAGGTTTCTCGTGAAGCTGACGTCACACGTCTCTTAATGGGCAATAGGCTGAGCTTTAAGAGGTGCGCTCATTACAGCGTTTCTCCCGGACTGAGAGCTCATCAGAGGGAAAATGGGACACACATGACAAGGCTGAGCGCACTGATAGCATGTCATCGTTATTTTGTTCTACTTTAGACACCACTCGGGATACATCGCAGTGTGGGTAGGCTGGGTTTTTTTTCTGCGCGAACCCGTAAATTCGCACACTTCAGATGGGCCCGCGATGAACCTATAATTTTGTAAGAGAAATGCTGTTTTTTCAACAGTCAACCTCTCGTTCGGAGCTGTCGGCCACATGTGGATTGTTGCCTCGTGGAAAGGAAGAGCTGCATTTAATCTCACGGATGGTGATGTGATTTTTCCGATTCATTTGGATACATTTGGATACCCGGGATCATACCCAAGCAAGTCAACACCGAGGTGACTGGGACGTTGGAGAAAGAGAATCAACAGAGTGTTATATTTCCCTCACGCTGGGCTGGGAATAACTCCGGACAATGCTTCAGTGTTCCAGCTGTGAAAAGCCTATTCTTGATAGGTTTTTGCTGAAAGTTTTGGACAGACCATGGCACATCAAATGTGTCCAGTGCTGCGAATGCAAATGCACTTTGTCAGATAAGTGTTTTTCACGAGAAGGGAGACTGTATTGTAAGAACGACTTCTTTAGGTAAGCATCCAAAGTGTTTGTGGTTTAGCATTCACAACAACAAAATAAATATAAATAAAACTGCTGTCAAATGTATTTTTTTAGCTGATAAAAAAGAAACGCAAGGTAAAAAAAACCCCGCTCAAAATAAAGAAAAATGGATGTTGATCAAACGCTGATGGGGCCTGTTGTATTAAAACCACTGGACTGTGTTCTTCCAGGGGTTCCATAAACACCGAGGGAGCTGGTACTTTGTGTAAATGTTGCAGATGTCAGTTTTTTGTTTATTAGAATTTTCTTTTGTAAAAAAAATCTTTATTTAAGAAAAAACAACATGTTTTGTCTATAGTAGGCCTGTTAGGCTATAATATAGCTGATATTCTACAAGCTACAATGAATTTACACTCATACTGGGGTTATTATATCATCTATTTGTTTTCAGATTAGGCTTTCGATATTAGATATTATTTCTGAAATGAATTGAATACATTACAAGGCTGAATTTTGTTTGTGGACTATTGTCCTCTGATAGAAATGAATCAGTGTTGTGAACCCATCATTAATTTACTTCAACATAAGTAAAAACAAAAAAAAAGCCATCTCAGTCATTACTCTACAACATATGTATGCTGCTGAAACTTGTCCATGACTGTTGCTCTCCCTCTTCAACAGGACGTTTGGGACCAAGTGTGACGGTTGCGCCCAAGGGATTTTACCCAGTGATCTTGTCCGCAGGGCCAAGAGCAAAGTGTTTCACCTGAACTGTTTCACGTGTGTGATGTGTAACAAACAGCTTTCCACCGGAGAGGAACTGTACATCCTGGACGAATTCAAGTTTGTTTGTAAGGAGGACTATCAGAATAACAATGGAAAAGACACAATCCTCTTTTCAGGTGATTAATCAAGACATTCAGAAAGTTGTTTAATGTTTTGAAATTATTTTTAATAAATTATTGTTGTTATTGTTATTTTCATTATTATTATTATTACTAGTATTAATAGTATTAGCAGCAGCAGATTTTCCGGTATAATTCTTCAAAAAAATTATTTATAGTGATACCCTCAAAGTGGGCTATTCCGAATATCGATGATAATATAATATATTATAATGAACATATTTGGAATTGGTGCTATGTTAATAACTCACTTTAGAAATGCCACTGTTTTCCTGGAGGGTTTTGCGGGAATGATTTAGATTCTCAGACCCATGTGCTAACACACAGCGTATCAAATTCTCATGGCAGTCACGACGTGCAGCGACCCGAGTCTCTCTCCAGACTCCCAGGACCCGCAGGACGACGGGAAGGACTCGGAAACGGGACATTTATCCGATAAAGACAACAACAACGAGAATGACGAGCAGAGCACCGTCGGGAAACGACGCGGGCCTCGGACCACCATAAAAGCCAAGCAGCTGGAGATCCTAAAAGCGGCTTTCGCGGCCACGCCGAAACCCACCCGACACATCAGGGAGCAGCTGTCACGGGAGACCGGTCTCACCATGAGAGTCATCCAGGTAAAAGGAAGAAAAAAGAAAACAAAAAGTTGACAACGAGAGTGATTTTTGCTGATCCATCTTCATTCATTATAGGACGCATCAGTTCCACCCACAGTCAGTGTTTTAACAGGTTACATGGTGCCTCGAGGTCTAACACAACAGAGAATAGTCAGTCTAGCCTAAACGCCCTGAAAAGCTTTTATGGACACAAAAAACGGTTGTGATTTGGGACTACGTTTGGGCACACTCTTAGGGGTTTGGTCCTAAATGCTCTGCAGATTTTTTTTTAAAATATATATATATATATTTTTTATTTTTTTTATTTTTTTCAAACAGGGTTTCCAAACCAATTTGATCCATAATCTGTACTCCCATTGCGCTCCTAAAACCCTTAAAAGCAGGACTCACTTAGCTTCTTGTCCTTGTGGACATTTTTAAAAGGCTCCCCTGATGCAATTTCCTGTTGGATTGACGCTTCGTTAGCGACATCGAAATGCTTAAAGATAAATTGTGTTTCAGTCGGCTAAATGGCCATCAGTTCACGTTCACTTTTGACGCATTTTCAAAAACTCCTTATTCGAACTTCTAGACAACCTAATAATGTGATATTTCGACCTGAACCATATTTCCATTTTTATGGCGAGAAGTGCAAGCAAATACTTTTAAGGAACTTACTCATTTCGATCTTTATATTATCCAAATATACAGTTTGTTAAGCAACGAGAAACCCGTTAAAAACGTTACTGTGACGCTCACAGGGCCCTGCAAGGCAGAAACGGGTACAAGGGGACGTCTTTTCTTGTTGTTTGTCCTTTTTGCTTTCCTGCTTGTGTCACTCACGCTGCTTACTTCATCTTTTTGTTTTGTGTCCGAAAGGTTTGGTTCCAAAACCGGAGGTCCAAAGAGAGACGCATGAAGCAGCTGAGCTCTCTGGGCGGCCGGAGACACGTGTTTTTCCGCGGCCAGAGGAGGATGAGGGCGCTGGGAGAGAGGCTGGAGGCAGAGGAGCTTGGACACTTCTCTTATTATGGAGGTGAGCTGTATGTTTTGGGGATGTAGGGTAGATAATTCCCTTGGAAATTAAAAAAGTATTTTGATGAACTTGACTAATATCAATCAAATATGCTTCTTCAGATTTATGTAGTGACTATAATGTAATCAATCTATCTTCTATTTATTTCTGTTGAGTCTGTTGAATTCACTAAAAACTGAAGAACAAAATATTTTTTACAAAAAATCAATTTTTAGTGTGTATTTCTTTTCCTCTAAATTCTGATACATTCTGTCCCAATATTTATATGCATGCAGACTATCCTGGTGAATACTATGGCTCAGGAGGGAATTATGAGTACTACCAAGGCCCACCGTCATCCCATGCTCAGACTCCTGCAGACTTGGGCTTTGTGCCCTCCTCTGTCCCTGCTGGCACCCCGTTAGGAGCAATGGACCACCACCATCCAGGGCACCACTGTCCCGGAGAGGTGCACTGTTTCTCTGACACAGTCTCTCACCATCCTGCGGACTCACCCAGTCCAGAGCCCAATATGCCGGGCTCAATGCACAGCATCTCCAGTGAGATGTGTGGCCCCAGCACACCCTACACGACTGTGTCCCTCAGTGACAACGGATACACCAACCAGCTGTCACAACCCTCCTCAGAAATGAGCGAAGGCACTGTCTGGTAAACTGGCCGAGACCCAACTACAAGGCACACTTAGATTTTGAAGGCAATTCAACTTCAAATATTTTTTTGATTCTTTATTTAAATACACTAATTTATTTATTTATTAATTATTTATTTATTTATAATTTTTTATTTATCTGCTTGTATTTTTGTTAAGCTCTATTTAACTATTTATAAATCTCTATATTTGTATGTCGGTATGTTCATTGACTAGCCAATCAATAGATTGTTTTAATACATTACATACATTAATACATTTGCAGTGCTGGGCCTCATTGATCAAGCAATAAACAAACATATTTATATGCTGCAGAATCTGGTTGTTTTTTTTTGCCACATATTTTGATGCAAGTGTCCATGAAATGTTAATATCAAGGTGCATGACAGCATTTTTTAAAATCACCTTTCAGTGTTTAAAGCATACTGACAAACAGCCCCCTCCATCCATGAGTTCATGTGTAATACAAGATTTTATCATTTAATAGCAGACTATGATTGTGATGTTCAATACATTTGACCAAATACCTCTCTCAGGACTGTGGAAACATTGGTTTTTTTCCTATTTATTTCTTAGTCATTTACCTTTTCGATTATTTCATTGCCAACACATATTTGCCTTCAAAGGGATATCTTTATTCATCTGAAAATTTGATATGTAACAGAAAATGATTTGAGTCCCACAGAATGATGGACAAGTGTAGAGAACAGTCAACTGTTTACTTAAAGCTCCAGTATTCAGATGTTTGAATATCAGCATTGTATAAAACCGATGGACAGACCGTTTAATGCAAACCAACCAAACTTTTGTAGCCGTTCTATTTCACTCACTGTTCTAGTTCGTACTATGTCCTCATTAAAAAAAGTTTTAAAAAAAACAGAGAATACTAATAAACCGTTGCCAATGCATGGCAAAATCCTGCACCTTTAGTTGTCAGACCCAACGTTTTTTAAGTGTTCACTTCCTCTCCTAATTATCTGAGCATGTTTTTCTATAGTGAAAACAGTCACTTGCAGCTCAGTTAGCCGAACAGCCGAGAATCAAAATGTTTTTTTGTCTTAGTGGATCAAAATGTCATATCACTCACATTGATGGTCTCACACACTGCCAGCAGCAGCAATGTTGTTTTTATGAGACATACTTGATTGTTCCAATTAAGTTTATGAGACCGATGTTTACGACCATTCACTGTATAATAAAACACATATTGATCATTTTTATTTGTTAATTTTTTTTTTTGGGGGGCGGGGGGGGGGGGGTATAGTACTAGTTCTTTCAAGTATGGGGGATACTTGACTTTTTAAATGTGTAATGAACAGGGCTTTGTTGAGATTAAATAGGGGATCAATTAAGGAAGCAACTTCATTTCCAAACAGTGTTGGAACTTTCATTATCATCCTCGTGTTCTGATGAAACCAGTCGCAGTACTTAGTAGTTATCTAAATAAATATATATACATACATACATATACTATTAATTATTCCTAATTCAATGTATTCACATACATTTTGTTTCCTTCTATTGAGAGCACCTTTAACAATGTTTAGCTGTGTTTAATTGCTGCAACATTTAGTATATTGCATTGTTACAGATTGCTAAATGGTAGCTCTTTACCCGTAACTTTTATAATGCAAAAATCTTGACAAGGAGATTTAGGATTTTTCAAATTAATTTCATGGAGAGGTTCTCTTAAAAAAAAAAAAAAGAAGAGCGGTCTGCTGCAGCACAGTCAACAAAGCTAGAGCTGCTCTTTGTGGTGTTACTGACAGTGTTGGCTAATCCAGACGAAACATCTAGCCAGCAATCAATGAACTTTCAAATCCAGGAGCAATTGGTCAGCATTCTTTTCGGATCACTTTGCAAATGTTAGTGAGCTGTCGGGTTTATAGAGTGGGTGATGTCTGCTCGGTACTGTGAGTGAAGAACACAACACCACGGATGTTTCAATGCCATTTGTTTGCCTGTTTGCTTCTTGATATATCCGATGAGGTCACGGTGGTGTTCATAAACACTAAGAGCAAACAACAACATCATCATTCTATTATAAGAGACCTTTCAGAGACAAATATATAAATTATAAAGTTATTAAGCACATAATATACTGCATGTATGTTTACATTCTGAAAAGGGCCTTTTTAATATATCTGTTAATTGTCCATAAGCTTGCATGAAATAAAAAGTAATTTCTGCTGATAGTGAAGAAGAAGATGATGACTGACTGGATATTTTAGAGTCAGGGAAAGATGAGAGCAGCAGCACAAAGGAGGACGGGACGAACACTGAATATTGAACCACACTGGGCAGCGAAGCAGGGGGCTGAAGGAGCAGATCAGTGAAGCGGTTTGGGGGAGGGGCAGGAGAGACACTAACCAGGAACTGCTGGACAACATAGATGTGGATCCGTTATTTCTCACATTTGTTTGTATTGGGATGTTTTTAAGATTCACTTTGGGCTTGATATCTCATCAGTTGGTCACAAGATCAAAACTGATGTTGGAAAAGCAAGCTGATACCTTTCAACGAAGCCAGCAAAGTTCTCAATAACACAACCTTAATGAACACATTGTTTTTTGTTATTGTCAACGAATCCACTGAAAAGACCAAAACCAAAAAGTTATTCCATCTCATACTCCCCATCTTCCTTAACCTGCTCATTGTTGTTTTTAAAAAATAGCTCAATTCGACTTTGGCACTTTAGTTTTCATAAAACATTACTCAAATTAGAGTAAATAGGGTATTTCAACAGTAGAAATGCCATCGAGGGCTGAACTCCACCAGGTGTGTCTGCAACGACCACTGCTCTGTTGTGTGGTTGAATGAACACAACCCACAAATGGCTAACCCCCCCCGTCTAGACACTGATGGGGATGTAAGGCATTGTAACATACCATTCAAACTCACAAACAAGAATCATGGCCGTTCAAACCAATAAAAGCGAGCCGCAGCGGCCGAGAGGTACAGCAGTGTGTGTATGGTAGGTCTGTTAGCTGTTAGCCAAACACAACGTCCGTTCTGTTAGCTGCTTAACAAACACACCGCAAACTGGTATCCCTCCACTGTGGGTGCAGAGTAGCGGATGGGCGATCGGAGATGCATTCTGTGTTATCACTGGTGGCCCCTATACCTAAACAGGCAATGAAAGGTGTTTTGAGAAAGTTGATTAACCGCAACCATGAGAGGTCCCTGAGCATGCAGCCATAACTGGCCACCCAAAGCATCCTGCAGTTTGCTGCAGCACAATGCAAGAGTAGCATGGACAGACACAGAGGTGCACAGTCACTCACTCACTCACTCACGTATGCACGCGACCGATCGCATGATCCTCCTGGCGGAGATAACTACAGCGCCTGTGTTCATGTTGATGAAGGAATATGGCACCCAGCGTTGCTCATTGATGTGTTTTAACAATGGAGCTCTCGGGCACAAAGGAATAAAGATATATCCGGCATTACACAGTCAATATTTGCTGAAAGATTCATTGTTGTTTTGGTCTTTCCATGGGATTTGTTGACACTAAGAAAAATATAGATATCATCAGACTCACCTTTTATGTAGTTAGACCCTAACCTCCCCTGGAAATAAGATCATTTTGCTGTTCAAAGACAAATTCCACAAATGGAGTCGCAGTTAGATACAAACTTTCTGGGGCCAGCTGCTAATGGAGGAAAAGCTTGAGGCAACATTTCCTTCATCAGCTGGTGGTTGTTACTCCAGACAGTCCCATCCCGCTCCGGGATTAGTATCTGTTCCACATGGCTTCATTTCACAGTGCATTTCTACGTTACATCGTCCTTTCTCAAAAGCTGATTGAAGTTTGAAAGCACTGGGGAGCAGCAGTTGTTTTGATTTGAGGCACAGTAATGTACGTCCGTTTTGATGCTGATTCAACTGTAACTGTGGGAATCAGAGGAAATGAGTAGATCATATACATGATACATCATCAAGTGAAAGTGAGCATTTCTTGTCCCAGAGTGGTTGTTCGGCAGCCACCTCAAGTTCTCACAGAGGTTGGAATTATGAGTTGGAGTAATTCCTAAGAAGAGTGATTGAGCGATGCAGTAACTCAACAATAAAAATAGACAAGTCGAGATGTCTATTTCTCATATCTCAGTTTAACGCCACCGCATTTCTTCTAACATAACATTCTTGGTTGTCACTGTGTTGTCCACCTCATTAAGTTAAAGGTGCATAGCAAGGAGTAAATTAATGAATATATACAGCATATATATCATCCAATTATATCAAATCTCTTTTCAGATAACGTTGATGGATACCCAAAGACCACTATAGCTATACTAAAAGAAGACTTTTAAATAAACATATAAATATTCATAAAAATACAATCATTTATTGAAGGTTTTAAATGGGGTCATGTTCTGTTAATTAAGGCCGACCACTTTCAAATTTTTGGAGGTAATGCTATGTTGTTAATCAAGGTAATCCCTGTTTATCTGAGCAAAATGCCACGATTAAGAGGGAGATTTGCATGTCAAACACGAGGCCAGCGAATCAATTAAAGTCTAGTGATTATGGTGACTGTAGGACAAACCACGCACAATATCTGTCCTCTGAGATGTGACATGTAGTACATATGTTTGTGCTTCTGCAGAACAAATTGAACCGTGTCCAAAAGTATGTACATATTTTGTATTTTGTAAATATTACACACCCAAATCTGAGAGTTCCTGTCAAACAAGTAGTGGATTTAGTCTTTTCACTTCTGGGTGAACAGCCGAGTGCTCATCACTACCACTTGGACACTTTGACTGCTCGCATACGCTGCACTTGACTTGGCTGAAAGCTACTTGCAGTTAGTCCCTTCATGGTTTCTTTTCACCAAACATGACACTGATCTTAGAGTGAGCTCGGTTTGTTGGATACTGTGCGTTTGCAGTCTGTAGTCAGGTGTTAGATTTCGTTTCACTCAATTTGTTTTGGAAAAGTGAGCATAATGCATAAAAGCTCTTCATATAAAGACTTTTTATAACCATTTTGTCACTCCTCATCATGATGTAGTGTGGGAAAATGTCAACTATCTTTCAGGGGAGAGTCCATTAGGGCACCACACTAATGGACTCCGACTTCAATGGAATTGAGTAAAAGAAGAAGCGCA